TGTGTGTGTGTGTGTGTGTGTGTGTGTGTGTGTGTGTGTGAGAGAGAGAGAGAGAGAGAGAGAGAGAGAGAGAGAGAGAGAGAGAGAGAGAGGGTTGGTTCCTGTGGCATCGTGGTTAGGGGAGAGTCTTTTTCTGTCTATTTCGTTTGTCTTGCACTTGGAGGCCGTCTATTCGCGTCGTTGTTCTGGAACTAATCTGAGGCGCGCCGATTATTGTCGGCTGCTCGTCGACGTCAACCAGCGAAGGGAAGAGAGGATATGGCCATCGAAGCGCAGAAGCTAACATGAACGACGACGACTTAAGGGGGCTCGGGTTATCTTCTGCTTGACAAGCCTGCTGGAAGGGATGGGTAATTAACTGACTGCTGGCGAGGAAGAGGGAGAACCTTGGCGAGGAAGAGGAAAAACCACGGTTGGTGTTTTGTCGATGCTGTGCATAGATAGAAATGAAATAGAGGCACTCGACTTAAGCGAGTCCGCTCGCTGGAAATGGAAGAGTTGATTGGTTCTACTCGGTGGGAACGAGAGCGTTGACATAATCTACCCACCGGCGGAGATGGGTGCGACGGAGAGCAAGAAGTACAGCGCTGCGTTTCCAATTCGATGAGCAGATGCTGATTTCCTTTGAGTTATATACTACTATGTTTTTTCTTCGATTAGAGGAAATCAGGTGGTCGAAGAATCTGCTAGCCGTTTTCGATTTTATGAAATCAGGGGGTGGAAGAATCTGCTGGACGTTGTCGATTTGATGAAATCAGGTGGTGGAAGAATCTACTAGACGAACGAAATGAAAGTAGGATAAGGCATGAAGTCGTTTATAGTCGCTAGTGGGTTGAGTTTGCTAGTAGTCACGACGTCGACATGAAGGGGAGAAGCGAGGGAGGTGGAAGGAAATGGCGGGAAGGAGGAGTCTGCAAGACGGCGGGAAAAGCAGAAGAAGAGGAGGGAGGGGGAGGGTTGACCGGCCATGGAAGCGGGAGGGGGAGGAGGAGGGAAGTGTGTGTGTGTGTGTGAGAGAGAGAGAGAGAGAGCATGGTTTAAGCGGGAAAGGAGTGTTGAGAGTGTATGAGAGTGAAGGCGGGAAAGAGGATATGGCCATGCAGACCATGAACTCCGTTTTCCCGCCTTTTTCTCGTTTTGATCTTGTTGCAGGCGGTTTCCACATTTTGCCGCCTCGGTTATTTCAGAGAGGCCGTTGTTTTGTTGGGAATTGAACAGGTGGTGGGGCAAATGGGAAGAAGGCATTGCTTGCTTGCTACGCTTTGCTCGTCTTTATCTTCTTCGAGGATAACATGGTTCTCGAGTGCACGGAGGCTGGCTTTAGATGCATGAATGAACATGGATATGTCATCATGGGATGGAGTGCGGACTATTATTAGGTGCTTTGTTTTATGGGTTTTACTAGGTGCTTTTATTTCTTTAAAAAAAATCTAATACTACTACCTTCGTAAGGTTTACTCCGGCGAATGGTCCGCTATCGGCTATCGCCGGGGGAGGCACCATCCTTGGTATCATCCTGCACTTGACTCTCCCGGTTTTTTTTTTTTTTCAAGTGACTGAGATCAGGTTGTGTTACAGAGAGAGAGCGTGATGAGTATGTGGTGTGTGTGTGTGTGTGTGTGTGTATGTGTGTGTGTGTGTTTGTGTGTGTGTGTGTGTGTGTGAGAGAGAGAGAGAGAGAGAGAGGTCTCTGCAAATAGGCCGGAAGTAACTAGTGCGTGCAATTTCGTCGGTGGTTTTGTGTGTGTGCGTGTGTGTGTGTGTGTGTGTGTGTGTGTGAGAGAGAGAGAGAGAGAGAGAGAGAGAGAGAGAGAGAGGTC